ATGACATGTGATCGATTCATTTGTAGAATAATTCTAATATGTGTCAGTACAGGGTGGGGAAAGGAGTGTCTGGAGGTGTTACAATGTTTTCAAAGGTAAACATATCAGAAGACAAGTTTGAGGCCGCCCATTAAGACCAATGCAGTGGTGTGCACTTAATTGCAAACAGACAAGTTGATCTGACGACCTTTCAAAAAAAAAGAAAATCTTGTTAGCTGAGAACTTTTTCTTTTATTCTTCCACCTGCACATGTTCAAACAATACATTGCAACGATGTGGTGCCTATCGATAATTACTTAAAGCATTCATACTGAGGCGAGTGATGACATCATTTCAAATTTACGACGAGAATAGAGACTGGATATAGAAAGGAAAGTAAGTAAGAAGAGTCTCGTTCGAGTTTTCTATATGCGTTCGATATCAGCCGTCGCATGTCTTTAAAATGAGCAAAGTCCAACATTGCCAACACAGCTGCCACCGGGGCACTGACTACAGACTGCTCCGATCGGGTAGATGCTTGCCCCAATGGTGTTGACGCTGAAGAAAGAGGTTGAATGCAAAGGCAGTCAAGGGCACGGTAGCGAGGACTTCACTAGCTCTTGTATAAGCAGGATGTGAAGTAGAATCCGCTGCACCTCTGTGTTGCGCATCCAATATATTGGTTGGAACCCCAGACCATCTGAAATTAGGTGGAGTTATTGCGATGCCTGACGAATCAGTCACCTACAGTGTGTTTTTGAAGGCCTTGTTTGGAATTTATGGTCGAAATAAGTTCTTTCCCTGGAAACGCAAGAGGGTAGTACTGACACGACTTTCAGAATGATTCAACAAAGTCGAGGCGCTGAGGCTCCAGGATGCAGCCTTGACCTCGCCCAATACTATTCAGTCCGCTCACAGATCAATGCCTTTTCGCATCGCCGCCTCTAGAGACGGAGTCCTTATTTTCGTCTTCGCCGAAAATTTCTTTCCACTTCACGATTACTAGTGTTACATTTACACCTCCACTGTCACTTGCAAGCAAAATAATCACTTCAATCCCAGACTTTGCCTTCAAGGAAATCCTCCACAGCGAACAGCTCTTTTCCTTCCCCCAGTGAAAGCGTTATTTGTGATAAGTAAAGACAATATTTAAAGTTCCATGCATAAAAACTCAGTTTCTGAAAAAGAGAAGCTTTTGTTCACCACACTGACATAGATGGACGAAGAAGTAGAGTAATGTTTTCGGAGGTTTTTCTCTTTTTTGACAGGGAGAGGAGGCAAGCAGGTGCGTTTGAAGACCAAGCTCGCACTTTTCTAGTGTGGTCGGTGGACGGGTGGCGGGCGTTTGTCGTGGGGCGCAGGGAACTTTGAAGTATTCTCAGGTCACTCACACTTCTAAGTACAAGCTCACATGGCATGCTCTTTGCAACATGAGGCTGAGTTGAAGGGTTGCGAGGTGGGACAAGGCGCTCTGTTTTTCTCGATGCCATACTCGACTTACCACACTGTCTCTCGTGTACGCTCAAGCTCTTTACTGATAATGTGGTAGCGAACCTTAGTCATGTGTCTCACAACCCTTCTCGTTGCATCGCGCATCCAAGATTGGTAGACCACGTTCGAAGGTACTCCGTATAGTACAAGTTCAGACTGCCACCTCGCAATCGCCTTAAATGTATGGTATTGGAAGAAGTAAGTGAATGAGGCTGGCCTGAAGAAGTTAGTGACAAGAAGCTTTTGCCACGGCTAAATTTCAAACTTACGTTCTGAATAGCTCCCAAGTCATCGGTGGCTGTCGTTCGGAGAACGTGGATGTTTTCCTTCCAGCCAGGTCTCTGCCAGGGACTTGATACGCGTCCACTGCAGCTCCTCACGTGTGCTTGGGCATAGGCTTCAGCCCAGCAGTCGTACTTCTGAATGAGTCCATGCTCGTTCCCTTGAACGATTTTGCTGTAATGGCAGGTAGGTAAATTACCAGGCGGTACATGAGCGCTGCTGGCGGTGCATATTCGGCGGCGTAATATCCATTCCTGGCTCGTCCAGTCGCGACGAATGCTCTGAACATGTCAGGTGACTTCAGGAGGTCAATGTTGCGGCTACTGTCATTTTCACCTGAAGTTATTGTGCATCCCAAGCGCAGTTTCCCTGAAGGCCATGGAGAATGCTGTGCTGGGACATGCTGTCGACGCTGTAAGGCAGTGTGAATGAGTTTTTTTTCGGACCTTGACTTCTGTAGCGATAGTTCTAATTCTAAGAAAACTACTTTCAAGCACTAACGAGGAGTGGTGGTGGTGGTAGTGGTTGTGGTAGTTGTGGTCGTAGTGGTTGTCGTCGCATTCGATGAGCTGGTTGGTATTAGTTCCAGTCTGACCTTAATCCGCGATGCTTTACTCAATGCTTTGAAAGATATCTTGACTGAAGGCCTGTTGTGTACCTACCTTGTACGAAGCTGCACTGCAGTGTAAGGAAGAGGACCTGAAAATGCTTTTCTAAGCTTTCATGAAATTGTATTTGTATTTGATAACAAACGAACTCACGAAGGCAATCTTAGCTGACATCCTGAGTGGATGACGACCAGTGACCGTGCAGGCTTTTTATGCGGAGCCATTTTGCACTATGACAATAAGCGGCTACAGTTTTCAATATTGCTATCGACCATTTGACGTATACTGTTAACTACTTCACATGAGTTGTACGTGGTGAGGGTGCATTTGCACTTTTTCGATCATATCTACGAATAAGTGCTTGAAAATTTGGATGGCATCTTGTTAGTTTTCTCCAGGTGCATGAGCACCGCCGATCGCTATAGTTAGCAGTATGTCGTTTGATAAATAATTAATAAAGTAGCTACCAGCAAGTAGTCTCGTGCAGCCCCACTGCCACCTTACTGTCAATTTCTGCGCCACATAGCATTTGAGACCGAAAAACGCTGGTCGGATCCTCGTCTTGATTTCTAATGATTAATAATAGTTCCTGGGATGAAAGGAGTGTATTTCAGAGAGGGTTTCTTGTTGGTAAAGAACCTTTCTGGAGGTTTGGGTCCACTTTCTTCACGATTTGGGGCGCGGCCGCGGCAAACCCGCGGCGTTCGCGGCCGAGTAGTGCGGCATCAGCTTGCCTGAGTATTCGACGTTACATTACGTGTCGTTACGATCGGATGAACTAACACGTAATGTAACGTCGAATACTCAGGCAAGCTGATGCCGCACTACTCGGCCGCGAACGCCGCGGGTTTGCCGCGGCCGCGCCCCAAATCGTGAAGAAAGTGGGGGGAGCCTGGAGGTTCACACCATAGACGTTTTATTAGATTGTCGCATGATCAGTGAATCTTTTTACATGTATTGCTGCAAAAAATTTACAAAAAAAAATAAAGGCGCGAAACCTGTTTCGCGAAGTAGCACCCACGTTGACCTAGCTGACCAATTACAGCCCAGTTAACGCAGCTTCCCGTGGCTATATTCGATTCCCTCGAATCTATTTCCGAGCACTCTTCTTCATCACTACTAATCAGGATCTTCAAAATGCAAAGCAAAATAAAGGCCAGGGAACGCTCCACCAATCCGCGGTGCTCCTGTGCTTCACACTATTCAGGAGCTAGCTTTTTATTTCATGAT